CTCATCAAGATATACACATTTAATATATGCTATTTTGTGTGTATCAATTATACTTCGATGAAGTTAAAAAAATGGCAACCTTTGTGTTCATGAAGTTATTGAATAACTGTCAAAAGCCTAAAACCACACAAAATGTTTTTCTGACAAGTGGAGTTACTGACTCCACTAAATAGTTCCTAACTAAGAATTATAAAAATCAAAGGAACAAAATATTATAAACAAAATACCTACAAATTGAATCTACATACATACATCATGACAAGACAATTTACAGAAACACAATTTTATTTTACCATTTGAGAATCAATAAATATGATTCATAATATTCAGGGGGAAAAAACATACAAAACATCTTGTCATTTCAATAAATGCAGAATAGGGGCGCCTGGGTGGCTTAGCTGGTTAAGCGTCCAACTTCACCTCAGGTCATGATCTCATGGTTTCTGGGTTCGAGCCCCACGTCGGGCTCTGTGCTGACAGCCAGCTCAGAGCCTGGAGCCTGTTGCAGATTCTGTGTCTCCCTCTCTTTCTGACTCTCCCCTACTCATGCCCTGTATCTTTCTGTCTCTCAAAAATGAATAAAAACATTAAAACATTTAAAAAAAGAAATGAAGAATAAACACCTAATAAACTTCAACAACTATCCATAATAATTACGGATTATAAAAAATTTTATCAAATTTGAAAGAAAATGTCCTTAATATAGTAAAACACACACACACACACAAATAAACACAAAGCACACAGCAGTTATTAGAGTTAATGTTAACTCCTCAATAATTCTTTTCTGAGAAGGCCCGTTGATTAACTGTCCAACTCTTGATCTCAGCTCAGGTAATGATCTCATGGTTCATGGGTTCAAGCCCTGAGTCAAGAAGCCTATGTGGGATTCTCTCTCTGTGCCTCTCTCTGTCTGTCTCTCTCTCTCAAAATAAATAAATCAACTTAAAAAATAATTTATATCTGATATAAGAAGCAAACATATGAAAATTCCAGCTGTCAATAGTTCTATTCATCAGTGTATTGGAGGTCGCAGCCAGTGCAATTGGGCAAGAAAAGATGTAAGAATTAAAAACAAACAATTGAAATGTTCATATTTAGAGATGTCAGGAGAGTATGCCTAGAAAATCCAAAAGGACCTACAGATAAAATATTAAATTTAAGAAGTTAATTTAACATGGATACTAGAAGCAAGGTCAAAATATTTTCCACATATTTTATATATTAGCAGAAATCATACAAACACATACACATGCACACACACTCTGACACAAAAGGAGTTGGAAAGCCCTTGTGTTTGGGACTGAAGATCTATTTCTGAAGGTCAATCATCCAGAGGTCATAGTTAAATCGTGGGTACCTTAAGGTTTTCCAGGCTGAGGACAATCACAGGAAAATCATAAGGCCAAGCATCCGCCTTAGAGGGATGATGATTTGTGGAAGAGAGGAGAGTAGGAGAGTAAATAAATGGTATAAGAAGAAAGTGACAGCGCTGTTGCAAGCCATCAGAGATCCCAGTAATATCAGAATTTTCAAGCAACTGATGTTCCAGCTCAATTGATTGAAAAGGAAAAATGAAACATGGTTAAGTCCCAATAACTGCATTACGCAGAGGCATGTCAATCTGCAGGCACAGCTGATCGGGTCTTTGGCCCTGTTTTCACTGTTCTATTATATTTGTGAACTTCGTTCCTGGGCCAGCCTAACTTTGGGAACAAAACTCCATAACAACTTTGAGTTTGAAGGTAATGTATCATCCAGGCAAAGAGATTGCCCCCCTTGGCTCAACCACCAAAAAGAAACTCAGGCTTCAGTTGGATTGGACCAAATTAGGTCACACACACATTATGAACCAATTATTCTAACTAAGCAAGGTGGTGAAATTCCATTCATTATCTTAGACCTTGGTTCTCATTTTAGCAGCTTTGCCCCATAGAGTGGTTTGGCAATGTCTGAAGATGTATTTGGTCACTAAAACTGGAGAGGTGTTACTGGCATCTACTGGGTAGAGGCTATTGATGGTGTTAAAAATCTTCCAGTGCCCAGGACCACCGTTGATAACAAAGAATTGTCTGGTCCAAAGTGTCAATAGTGCAAAGGTTGAGAAATCTTTAGAGGAGGATTTTTCAAACTTAAATGTATACCAGAATAACCAGAAAGACTTGTTAAAATACAGATAACCTAGTTCCCCTTCCTGGATTTGCTGATTCAATACATCTAGGGTGGTCTGAGAACTTCTTTTGCCTAACAAGCTCATAGGCTCTATTCCTGCTGCTGATTCATAGTCCACACCAAAAACACACTCATGAGGGAAGGCCCTGGCTGGTAGCTGAAGGTGCCTCTGCTCTAAAGTGAGGCGAGGTTTAATGAATCCTGGAGAAGTAGCCAGATGTGCTAATGGAGAGGAGAGAAAGCCGTATATTTCAGCCATTTCCTATCCTTCCTCAATCCTAAAGTTCATATTGTCCTAACATTTCCAGTTGGGAGAATTGCTTCAGAATTGAAGAGACTTTCACTTCACCAAAGTCTTTGCTTGTTCTGAGTGCCCTTCAAAAGTCCTATAAAAAAATATCTTTGGGGCACCTGGGTGGCTCAGCCTTTTGAGCATCTGACTCTTGATTTCCACTCATGTCATGATCTTGCAGTTGGTGTGATTGAGCCCCATGTGGGGCTCTGCACTGACAGCTCAGAGCCTGCTTGGGATTCTCTTCCCCTCTGCACCCACCCCACTCATGCTCTCTATCTCTAAAATAAATAAATAAATAAATACACTTTTTTAATTTTTTTTTTTTATTTATTTATAAGAAAAAAAGAGAGAGAGAGAGACAGCATGAGCAGGGGAGGGTCAGAGAGAGAGGGAGTCACAGACTCTGAAACAGGCTCCAGGCTCTGAGCTGGCAGTCAGCACAGAGCCCGACGCGGGGCTCGAACCCCCGAACCGTGAGATCATGACCCAAGTGAAAGTCGGACGCTTAACCGACTAAGCCACCCAGGCGCCCCATAAATACACCTTTTTAAAAAAATATATCCTCAGGCCAATACTCAGTCAATTGAGTGTCTGACTTCAGCTCAGGTGGTGATCTCACAGTTCATGGGTTTGAACCACACATCAGGCTTGTGCTTTGAATCCTCTGTCCCTCTCTCTCTCTGCCCCTTTCCTCCTCATGCTCTCTCTCTCTCTCTCTCTCTCAAAAATGAGCAAACATTTAAAAACTAAATAAATAAAATTAAATTAAAATATTCTCAAAATCTCCCTTTCCTTTTCCTCCTGCTGTTTTAATCAAAATAATTTTGATTTTTTTAATGGAGTTTCTTGAAAACTATGGAATAAGCAAAAGAATGAGTAAACATAAAAGTAAATAAAAAATATAACTGAATTGCTACAGCACAGGTATTTTTAAAAAGCCCTGTTGATTGTTTTGTGTGAATATCTAATACACCCCCTGTGCTGTTACCCCTCCTCCTTAATCATTCTCACTGGAAAAACAAGGAGCAGGATCCTGTCCGGATAAAGCTCTGCCAATGGACTATAGTTACAGCAAAGTGCCAACTGTTTTTTTCTAGAAAGGTCCAGTGCAGAAAAGAGTAGAGCATGGTATTATTTTGCTCAGCAAGAAATATCTTAGGAAGAGGGAAATCTAGAATATCAACTAAGGGGTTGGGGAGAAGAATGGGGAAAAGACCATCAATGTGACAGTTATATCAACTTAGACCATGTTCTCTGAGCACATGCGTAGGCACAGAAGAGATCGTGCCTGAGATCCACCTGGAACAAGCCCTTCTCTCAAAGAACTCACAGGCAAAAGGGGAAGAAAACCAAAAAGAATCAATGTGGTGGGTACAGAGTGATGTAGGTCACTGCATGACGCCAGACAAGGGAGGGTCACTTCCACTCTACCACTAAGTGAGGTTTCCTGGAGGAAGAAATGTCCCAGCTGGACCTCGAGGGTTAGAAAGTCATCAAGGGAGAGACAGAGAAACGGTGTTGAGCATGCTTGGCTGTCAGAGGCCGGCTCCGGCACGTCCAGGGGACCCTGAAGGATGGACGGTGTCGGCGAGAGAGAAAATGAGAGAGCCCCGAGATTCTTTCTGATCACCAGGCAGGCATCTCTGTCCTGTCGGTTTCTTGTGTCTTTATTTATAGGTTAAATGTTAACATGGCATCAGAAAAAGGAATTTTTGTAATGGATAACTTTGTGATAAGATGCTTTGGAAAGTGTACAGAAACAGGTTTTACAGAAATATTCTTGCAGAACTATTCCAATTATAGTGAGTTTAAGTAAATCTTATAACTAAAGAATTAACAGAGTATTCTTAGTAAAAGACAGGATACATATTTGTACTAAGTTAATAACGCTAAGGTTAGGTCATAGGTTAAGTGTATAGCTAGGTTAAGAGTCATTCCGTCTGGCTCTCAAGAGGACCAATGTTTTTGAGCTGGTTAATGAGTTGTTTGTGGAAACCTATTTGATGCTGAATGTGTGAACACCATGGAGGCCCTAAATGCGTCAGCCTTTTGTTTGTGGGTAATGTTTTAGCTACTCTTATCTATCCTCATCCCAGCCACCTGTAAGGGAGGCTGTTGGCAGAAAGTAGGCCATGGGGAAGGGACTGCAATACATAACCAGTTAGAAGAAGGTGTAAGTATTAACTTAAGTTCTGCCTTTATCTATTCCTTAATTCTAAATTAGGCTCTTTGTCTCGGGGCCAGGCTCAATTGTAACTCTTGTGTTCTTAACCCCCTAAGTCTTGGATCTGCAAGGCCCATAGGAAGAGCCTTTTGACAATCATCCACAGAGCTTTCATCTGAAATCTCTTTTGTAAAGGCAGGAATATGCTTTTCCTTACGAGGTATCTGTATTCAGAATATGGGTCTGATATGGAATATTGTGAGGCCTGGTCAATACCAGCAGGCTTATTTCCAACATGAGCAGTAGTAGCAGAAGGAGATACCAGTTTTCATTTCTCATGGCAGGAGCTGTGCAAACACTACCATTTCCTTGCTGTGACTGCCATCCAGAGAGGTCAGTGCGGCTCCCAGCACTTGGCATCTCTGCAAATAAATGATCCCAGCATTTAATTGTACATAGCTTACTTTGGCAAATGATATTTCAGCAGAAGCAGAAAAAAGTTTTACCATAAGAAGCCAAAGGGAAGTCACCAGGAAGTAGTATACCATATTTCATTTATTCTGGAGCACATTCTTTCCCACATCTCACATGCAGGAGACCCAGGTGAAGCCTACTATTGATACCACCTGATAATAAACTGACAGTTTTCTATTATTTTTCTACCAGTTACAAATAATGATTTATCTTGCATCTTATGGTAACTTTGATGTGATCAAACAAGAGGATTATTTGATGAAATATGACATGATCAACTCCCGGGCTGAACACTCGAGCTTCTGGGTTTCTGGATGTTTATTCCAAATGGAAGAGGAGTCACACGATGGTCCATTAGATGCTCTGATATGACCTAAGAAGAACACAAGCAAAAAAATAGCTCTACATGAGGGATACACACACTTGCATGTTTATAGCAACAGTGTTCACAAGTAGCCAGAACGTGGCATCAGCCACATCTGTCGGCAGATGAATGATAAACAAGAGGTGCCATGTTCGTGCCATGAACATCATTCCTCAGCCTTGAGAAGGAAGGAAATTCTGACACCTGCAGCCACCCAGATGAACCGTGAGGACGTTGTGTTGAGAGAAAGAAGGCAGGCACGAAAGAACAACTGCTAACGATGTCACTTAGGTGTGGTCCCCAGAGTCCTCACATTCACAGAGACAGAGCATAGAATGGTGTTTGCGAGGGCCTGGGGAGGAGGCACCAAGAAGGGCTTGTTCTTTGGGTATAGAGTTTTCATTTTTCAAGATGAAAAGAGCTCTAGAAATGGCTTGTGCAAAAAATGTGAGTGTACTTGATACATTCTAAGCTGCGCATTTGAAGATGGTGAAGAAGGCAGGTTTTGAAAAAATTTTTTCTTAGTGTTTACTTTTAAAAGAGAGAGAGAGACAGAGAGAGAGAGAGACAGAGTGCTAGCCAGGAAGGGCAGAGAGGGAGGGAGACACAGAATCTGAAGCAGCTCCAGGCTCTGAGCTGTCAGCACAGAGCCCGATGCAGGGCTCAAATCCACGAGTTGTGAGATCATGACCTCAGCCCAAGTCAGATGCCCAACCAACTGAGCCACCCAGGTGCCCCAAGAAGGTAGGTTTTGTGTCCTGTGCATTTCGCCACAACTTAAACAATGGATTTACGTAAAGGAGATGGGACTGGGGAGACAGGGGAGGGTCTGGTGGAAAAGGCTGAGGCTAATGTGGTATAAATCTATAAAATGGTAGAAGGGAAGGGTACACAGAAAAAAAAGATTAGAAGTAAAAACTTACCTGCGCCTCAAAAAACAAAATGTAGGAACTGTCAAAAGGATCAATAAGGGCACTATTACTGCCAAAGACAGCAAGCCGATGGAGATGGGGGTTCCTGAAGGTGGGGGAGGGACACAGGATATCACTTTAAACCCGTTTTCTGAATCTCCTAACCTTCCTTTGCCTACTTGATGGTCACCTGCTCTTGATGCTCAAGCCCTCGGTGCCTCCCCTGCTGCGTCCCTCCCTCCCCTTCCCTTCCGGTCAAGGATCATCCCCACCCCCAGCCAGCGCCTCCCTCTAAGCCCGAGGACCATCAGCTCCATGCCCAGCGGGGCCCCTGCGCTTTCTCACCCCAGTAGAGGACCACGTCCTGGCCTCCTAGACTGCTGTGTCTCACTCGGCAAGACAGGCCGGCCGCCTCCCGCGCCGCCACGTCCAGGGTCACCCGGAGGTACCACGTCTCGTCGGCATGGGGCAGGACGTCGCCTCGCCGGGTGCCCGGCTGCTCCTGCTCACCCCGCATCCACATCACCCGCACTGGCTTTGGGTGGAAGCCGGAGACGTGGCACACCAGCAGCAGACGGCCAGGGCCGGGACTGGGGCCGCTGGACAGCCAGGCCTCTGGCCTCACTGGGGCAGGAAGGAACAGGGAGAGGGATGGATTATGACTCTAGAGGGATTTGGAAACTCAGGTTTGGACAGTGACCCCTTCTCCTTTGGAAACCGAAAAAATGTATCGATTAAGCCCCTCTCTTCTTAGGTGCATCCTACTCTTGAACGTAAAGCAAGTGGTGGGAGGTGAAATAGAAAAGCCTTAGTGGCGGCACAGGACTCACCTGCCTTCCCCGCATCGAGGACGCCCAGGAGATACTGGGGGCAGGTTTCAAAGAGGAGCTTCGCGGCGATATCCCGGATGCCCTCGTGCTGATGGATGAGCCCGCAGATGCGCCGAGCCCGGCTCCCAGCCTCTGGGGCGGGTACACAGGAGTAATTCTTGAGGCTCAGAAAGTCCAGTCCTCCTAACGCTCCCCGCAATAAGCTCCCTGTGCCCCCGCCTATAAGCAGCCTACAGCCGCGATTCCCTGGATCTCAAAGGGGTCTGGACAGAAGGAAAACAGAGAGGCCGTTATTAAGAAGCAAACAAGAAAGAGACGGGGGAAGAACCTGGGATTTGGGATTTGGATGATGAGAAAGATCTGCATTGTGAAATAAATGGTGAGCCAGAATCTCAGAGAGCTGAGAACCAGGGAGAGGCATGCATGTCACCAACGCCGGAGAGGCAGTTGTGATGGTGTGTGTGTGAACAGGGGAGAGGCAGACAGAATGTGAGGGTCGGGGGCCAGCCCTGCAGGGTGAAAGGGAAGAGTGCATGGGGAGGAGGGCCGGGCAGGAGGCTCCAGGTGGGAGATTGCAGGAAAAGATGGCTCAAGCATCAGGGAAGACTAGTGGGGCTTCTTGCTTGGAGTTCGAGAGATGCCAAACCAGCCACAAGCCAACCAGATGTTACAAAGGGGACCTTCACCCGTCAGAAGAGCATGCGAATCCTCTCTGGGGGTGTGGAATCTGAGGGTGTCGCCACTCCAGGTAAGCTTGTGCCACAGCTGGGCAACGTGGGAAGGAGGGGGAGAGATCAGAGGGAGTAGTGGCCTGAAGCAAGAGAGAGAGAAGTCGTCAAGAACCGCCCTGGATGAGAGGCATGGACTCACATTCCATCTGGAACTCATGGGCATGGTCCTGTAGTTCCAGGATGAACCCGTTGAGGTTTACCTGGAAGATCTCCTCCAGCCTGGCCACCTCCTCCTCACTGAAGTTGCCCTTGGACCAGGGCTTCAGGAAAATCGCCCTGCCCATGTCGCTGTCCCAGCTGTGGATCTGCAATTCCCCCAACCATCCTGAGCCTTGGTTCCGCGCCCAGCTGCTGTTGGCAAAGGACGAGATCTGGATCACCTGGTAAGAGGTGGGCCCTTGAAAGGCTGTGGGTGACGGAAGGTTAAGAAAAGTGAGCAGAGTTTGCAAGTATAGGAGGATTAGGAGGAACTTAACTGAGGAACAAGGGGGAGAAGAAGGGGGGAAATGGTGGGGGAAAGGGAGAGAGGCAAACCATGAGAGACTCTTGAATGCTGAGAACAAACTGAGGACTGATGGATGTGGGGGGGAGGGGAGATGGGCATGGAGGAGGGCACTCGTGGGGATGAACACAGGGTGTTATGTGGAAACTAAGTTGACAATAAACTATTTGTAAAAAATAAAAAAATAAAAATAAATAAAAAAAAGAAAAGAAAGGTGAGCAGAAAGGGAGAAGCCAGGGACAATGAAAGAATGAAAATTGGAAAGATCCAGAGAAAAGGAACTCAGAGTCGGCAAAGCACCAGACAGCCTGAGACATTTGCCCCCAAGGTCTAGGGCGTGCCCAGCCCACCTCCAGTGGGGGGGGGGGGGGGAATGGGCAGAGGTGCTGGGACGACCTGACCCTCCAGGACTTTATCCACAGCCCATCCCAGTGCTGGCCAGTCACTCACCTTCCTCGCCGCCACCCCCTGGGGAGAAGACCACGGGCAACAGCAGCTGCAGAAGCAGCATTTCCCTGGGGACCCAGCTGCTGACTCTCAGAGCCTCTCCTCTGTCTCTGGCTCAGCAGCTTCGCTCAGAGCTCTGCGGTGACTTCCTCTCTCTCCCAGCTGGCAGAGCCCTTCCCAGTCCAGGCTGCCCAGCAAGAGAAAAGCTGCACCTCCCACAGCCCCGGGGCCTCCCCCTCACCCCTCCTTTCCACTCCAGCCAATCTGATATTTAGTTTCTTGTCTCCCCGGCCCCAGGGGCCAGTTCCCTTCCTGCTTCTTACTGTGGAAGACACCCCCTCCATGGTTCTGAAGGGCCTTTTCACCTCCTCAGGTGCGGTTCTTCCAGTGTGAAATAAGAGGGTCATGTTGGATCAACCCCTTGGTCTAGAAGGATGCTTTTGGTTTAGTCACCCAGCTGGACCTCCTCCTGCCTCCCTGCTCTGCACTCCCATCACTAGGGGCTCCTGTGGCCTTTCTCACCCCCCTCTTCGCATCCCTCTCACCCACATTCTCACTTCTGGGGTGCTGTATATGTTGACAGTCATTTACAACATGGCAAAGCATTGAAAACATCACCTAGACTGTAGTGCTACAGACCCAAATCCCAGAACCACATATGATATATACATCCTGCCGTTTAGGAATCCAAACAAATTTATGTTATGCCAAGGCCATTTTTGGAGGGTAAAAATGACATTTTCTACTGACATATGAACTTCTTTTTGGCGGCTCCCAAGCTTTGGAGTTTAGAGTGGAAAATCTTCTGGAGTCCAGGAGGACCTGGGGTGTCTCCTGCATGCTCACAGCCTCACCTTTCATTTTAGCCTTTCTAACACCAAATAAAAGATTGTTAGATGAACAAGGGGCTTGTCACTTGTCACCAAAGGTTCAGAGATCTGAATCCTAAGTTGCCATGCCCTGTGTTCTCTGTGAATGCCCTTGGCACATGGCAACAATGCATTGAGCATCCATGGAGTGAAATATATGGGCTCTAGTCAATATGTTAGCTGTAAGGATAATGCTTGGATTTTCTCCAATCAGAAAAACGTGACAAGTTTGCATAGATCTACACATCATCTAGCAGAAAGGTGGTAGTAGAATATTCCAAGAACGAGGGACTTTCACTCACTGATATTATGTATGTAGATAAAAAATCCAAAATGAGGACGGTAACGATCTCTATGCCTCTGAATAAGTGGCTCACACTATTAAGAATAGCCTTTATCCGACCCTGATCGCAAAGTCCAAATTGTGAAGTACGGAAGTCAGAATAATGTTCCTGGAATTCCAGTAAACCACCACTGCCTCTGCTCGGATGCAAACCCGACCAAAGGCGCGACCGCACTCACTGGGACAAGTGGCTGATGACCGTGAAGAGGCACCTTAACACATCAACCCACACTCCGGCTGCACTGTCCCCTCTCCCAAATGGCCCACGCCTCCAAGACAAAAGCCTCAGTGGACACAAATCTTCAGACACTCAGATTACTCCAGTCAACAGGCTCAGGAGACAGGGTCCTGCTTTTACTGGTAAAGAGGAGAGAGCGCAGGATTAATGGGTGAAAAATTCCCTGATTCCTCCAAGATCCTGGCAACAAGAAATATAACAGATATCTTAAATTCTACCTCAAAAGCAAAGAAGACAAACACCTTGGAGTCAAACATGAGATTTCTGCAGAGCCAGGGCCAGTAGAGGCCCCTCCACCTAAATGCAGGCAGCAGCCCAGTGAGCTAGCATGCAGCAGTCTCCTGAAGCCCGACGCTGTGCGTGTCCTGCAACCTGAGCCAAGGGCACGGTCCCTATGGCCCGAAGCTGGGCAGAGGAAGCAAGCCAGCGAGCAGCCCGCAGTTGTATTGCTTTCTTTCCAATTCTGCGATTTTAACCAATGGATGAAACTTAACAACAGGCCCAAAAATGACAAGTGTATCTTGCCCCACTCATTCATTTATCCAATGAGTATTAATTGAGCACCTGCTGTTTGCACCTTTATGAGCTCTGCACTACCTTGTCACCATCCAGATTCTCATCCCCATCCTATTTTATTCCAAACTTGGAAGCGAGTTCAGAGACTTCATTTGAGCTCAGGAACCTTGATGGAGTTAATTTTGCCCAGAACACACAGGTTCTTAAGGATGACAAAGAACCTCAAATTTGAGCTGTAAGGGGCAATTTCCAGTGACAGTGTACCCACTTCCCCAGTACTGGGATGCAGAAAGAGAGATTTAAACTTTTTTAAATATTTTTATTTTTTCAATATTTATTTATTTTTGAGCGAGAGAGAGAGCATGAGAGAGAGAGAGGAGCAGAAGGAGATGGAGACACAGAACCTGAAGCAGGCTCAAGGCTCAGAGCTGTCAACACAGAATCCAATGTGGGGCTCGAACCCACAAACCGTAAGATCATGACCTGAGCCGAAGTCAGATGCTTAACCGACTGAGCCACCCTGGTGTCCCTCCTGAGAGGTTTAAACTTCTGAGACTGCTTTGGGGCACCTGGGTGGCTTAGTCGGTTGAGCGTCCAACTTTTGCTTAGGTCATGATCTCGCGGTTTGTGGGTTCGAGCCCCGCGTCGGGCTCTGTGCTGACTGCCAGCTCAGAGCCTGGAGCCTGTTTCAGTCTGTGACTCCCTCTCTCTCTGGCACTCCCCTGCTCACACACTCTCTCTCTCTCTCCTAGAAATAAATTAAAAAAAACATAAAAAAAAATTTTAAACTTCTGAGACTGCTTGGAAAGTCCACATTTTTTTGCCTTATTGGTCTTTGAATCCAAACCATATGTTTGGATTTTTTACATGCTTTTATTCCTGTAGGTTTACTTTGTTTTTTTGCTGTTGTCTTTCTTTTAGGAGTGCATATGGTGGGGTCCATACAATCGTTATGTCTGTAGAGCAGACAGAGGTCTGGGCATGCCTGGATTTCAAATTCTAGCATCAAATTCTAATTTACTATTTTGTTGCATCTACTGTTGAAAAGGGAACTTCTATTATTCTTTGTTATTACCTTGTAGGCAATTTTTTTCTCTCTAAAGGTTTTCCATCTCTCCTTCCATTCTTTTCCAATGGAACATCCCATACTTAGACGCCAGAGTTTTGTATTATCTAATTGCTTATCTGTTTTGTTATTGAGGTGAAATGCAATATAAAATAAGCCAATTCCATGGAATTGAGTACATTACAATATTGTGCGACTACCAGCTCAAGCAACTTGCCCAAAATGTGTATTAGCCAAGAGAATAGCCCGTAACCATTATGTAGTCACCTGCCGCCATCCTTCCCCCAGGCCAGTCCCCTATGAACTTAAAACCCTCTTTCTGTTTCTGTGGACTCACTGCTGTGAGTATTTCATATGAGTGGAATTATACAACATCAGCACCTTTTTACTTGGTGTCTTTCCCTGAAAGCATCAGGTTTTTGAGGCTCATCCACGTTGTATTATTTTTTCATTTCTTTTTACGGCTGAATGATGTTCCATTCTAAATAGAATCTACCACATTTTGTTTAGCCATTTACTCACTGATAGATATTTGGGGTGTTTCTTCCTATGCACTCTTTATTATTGTGAATAGTGCTGCTACGAACATCCTCGTACAAACATTTATCCAAACATCTGTTTTTAGTTTTTATGGGGATTTACCTAGAAACGGAAAGTCTGAGTCAGATGGTTAATTCTATGCTTAAATTTTTGAGGAAGTGCCTACCAATCTTCTACCACAGCAATACCACTTTACATTCCCACCAGCAATGTGAGAGGGGTGAAAATTTAGATAGATAGATATTATACTAGAAGTAAAAACTAATGCATTTTAATTTTTAATGTTTTTTTTATTTTTAATGTTTATTTATTATTGAGAGAAAGAGAGACAGAGACAGAGAGTGAGCAGGTTATGGGCAGAGAGAGGGGGAGACACAGAATCCGAAGCAGGCTTCAGGCTCTGAGCCGTCAGCACAGAGCCTGAAGCAGGCCTCCAACCCACGAACTGTGAGATCACGCCCTGAGCTGAAGTCAGATGCTTAACCAACTGAGCCACCCAGGTGCCCCAATTTCTAATATTTATTTAATTATGTATAGAGAGAGGGGACAGGGGAAAGGGGCAGAGAGAGGGGGAGAGAGAGATTCCCAAGCAAACTCCATACTGTGGGGCTTGAACCCACGAACATGACATGAGCCAAGATCAGGAGTCAAACTCTGTTGACTGAGCCACCCAGGCACCTCAAAAACTAAAATATTTTTAAAATATGTGCTTATTTACTAACTTAAAATAAAAACAAGCTGAATGTGTATTTAAAAACAATAACAAAAAAAAACAGTGAGAATAGTGGCTTTTTAGGTTTTTAAATTTGTTTAATATTTTTGCAATTCTCTTTAACATCTGACTTAATAGAAGGCAGCTATATTTTCATATCTGCTTCCAAATGCAATCTGATGCAATATTACACACCATATAGTCTCTGGGAAGCAAGGTTCACTAAGATATCATTGTATTATTGCTATAAGGGTAGTCTTGAACTCACGGAGCCTCTGGAAGGGTGTCAGAGCTCCCACATAACACCTGAACACACCTTGACAACAACTAGCCTAGACCAAGTATTTCTTTAGGGGAAGTGTAAAGGTATTCCACTTTCTTCATTGGTTAAAATATTTCTAAAAAGTTGTATTCTCCTAGATAACCACCTCATGAACCTGAGATAACTGAAGACAAAATAAGTACTTGTTTCTTTCCACTTCTTTACCAGTTTTCAAGAGAATTCATTGTTTGTATAGTGTCCTAGGTGACCAATGCATTACGTTTTTCTACTGCAGATACATGGATTTCAATGTAGGTGAAACGCTTGACTCTATCCTAGCCATTTTTTTTTGCCGAGATTCCCATCTGTGACTTGGAATCTTTTTCAAGTCAGCTGCTTCTGAATTCAGAACCCTACTCCTCATCATGCTCTCCATCCCTTTCTTGAGTAGCAGAGCCATTCCAAACTCATGTAGAAACTTTCCATCTCAAGTTAGAAATTAGTCATTTCCCCAAGGCTTTCTGGTCCCTTCTAGTGGGGAAATAGTAAGTGGAAGCCATAGTCTGAGCTTTAGCTTATTTGTGCCCATTTGGTTTCTGGGCTTTTTTTTTTTTTTTTCCAAGAATAAAAATTATGGGAAACAGCTAAAACAATCTTGACAAAGCTGCAGAAAGGAGTTGGTGGCCATGGGGCTGGGCGAATGGCAGCAAGTCTGAACACATGGATTGGCATCTGGGGGCACAGTCATGCATTGCTCACAGGACATTGATCTCACCAGCAAGACCATCGTGTTGAGCGACTATTACAAGGGATCTAGCAGATGAAAGAGCTGGACCTCACTGTGTTGTGAGAAGCCAGTGTGTCCTAAAGCCACTGTTCCAGAAATTCAGCAAAGACATTGTGCTCTTACCTTCACATATCGAGGACCATGCCGTTATTGGGAAGATAGTGTGGTCAGTGCAGTTCAGACCGGCTCTCAGTTCACGATGGCAAAGTGGGTGCTGATGTGTGTTAAAAGAGCACTACAGAATTCTTGACAACACAGTGTGACCCCCAGAAATTGGTGCCACCATCACCATCCTCTCAGGCTTCCTTGGGCTCTCTGCTTGGGGCCCCCAGGAACTATTGAGCAGGCACTGTGACCTGCTACCAGAAGCTCTTGCCCTTGACACCAGCCTAAGGTCTCTGTTCCAAGATGCACTTAGGGACAAAGAAAGCTGGTCAGCACCCACAGAGAACTCTCATGTCTTTGACATCTACTACCCTCTTTTTTGTTTGTTTGTTTTTGCTTAGTTTCTTCAGAATTTCTCAATCCTTCCAGGCTCTAATCTCTTAAGATTTTAATAACAATGTTGGGAGGAATTGTTTCCAACTGCTGCAATTGAACTTAACATTCAAACCATCCCTTCATACCATTGTCTGTGGAACACAGCATCACCCGTCGTCGCTAGCACCCCCACCTCTGGCCCTGAGGATGACTGTCCCTCGTGGGGGGCCAGGGGACTGGGCCACCCCTCTCCCCATAAACCACCCACAGGGAGCACCCCTCACATTGTCTGCTCCCAGCTTTCCTGCAAGAACACACTTGGCCAACTGTCACTATTTCTCATAATCTTGAAACATAAAAGGTGTTTGTGACTCTTCAGAGCCTGGATTCCTGTTGGCCACTAAAACTTGAAAGGAGGGGTGGTTAGTGGTTCTCTGTTTCCCCCAACTGACTTGAACTTTCATTTTAATCCAGGGGATTAATAAAAGTCTTTCCAGCATTCTGTTCTAGGACCTTCAGCTTTCACTGAAGGGGAGGGGGGGCTCAGCACACAGACTATATTTCTGCAAAGACCCTGGTTTGAGTCACCCCTTGCCTGACGGTATTAGGGGGCAGCAGCACATGCCTTATCTCTTTGAAAACATAGCACTGTGACTTTCATTACCCCGCCTCTCCCTACCATCCCACTGCAAGCAAAGTGAACAGGGCAGCCAGAATCCACAGAATTAGTCCAGGTAAGTAATGAAACAAACAAAACAACAATCAAAGAGCCTCAAACTAGAAACAAAACAAGTAATCATCAAAGAGTGGGTGAATAAAAAAAAAACAATAGTATATTCATACTTGGGATCTATTGAGCAATAACAAGGATTACAACCATATACTAGGTGGAAAAAAAAACACTCAGATATAAAGAGTACATCTAAGCGATTTCATTTTTTCCTTTTCTAAATTTTTTTAATTTTTCTTTTTTCAAATTTATTTTTGAGAGAGAGGGGTAGGGAGCAAGTAGGGGAGGGGCAGAGAGAGAGGGAGACAGAATCCCAAGCAAATTCCACACTGTCAGCACAGAGCCTGATGCTGAGCTCGAACTCACAAACCATGAAATCATGACCTGAGCCGAAGTCAAGACTGAGCCACCCAGGTGCCTCTTTTCCTTTTTGTTTTAATTTAATTTATTTGGTATACAGTGTAGTCTTGGCTTCAGGAGTAGAACCCAGTGATTCCTCTCTTACATATGACACCTAGTGCTCATCCCAAAAAGTGCCCTCATTAATGCTCATCACCCATTTAGTCCATCCCCCCCGCCAACCCTACAAACCCTTAGTTTGTTTTCTGAATTTAAGAGTCTCTTATGGTTGGGGCACCTGGGTGGCTCAGTCGGTTAAGTGGCCAACTTTGGCTCAGTTCACGATCTCACAGTCAGTGAGTTCAAGCCACATGTCAGGCTCTGTGCTGACAGCTCAGAGCCTGGAGCCTGCTTTGGATTCTGTGTCTCCCTCTCTCTCTGCCCCTCCCCCTCTTACACTCTGTCTCTGTCTCTCTGAAATAAATAAACATTAAAAAAAGTTTTTAAAGAGTCTCTCATGGTTTATATAAGTTATTTTATTTTAATAAAATTATAGAAAAGACACATCTAAGCTGAACTATATCAGTAAGCATACCAGTATTTGCAAGTCTTCCTGGTTGGTGTTAGGTTTAGCTGCAAATGGGCATGGGGGTACTGGGGTAATGGGATGTGCTATACCTTGACTGTGTTCTTACTTTATAAGTTTGACCTATTTGACATAGGTCAAAATGAATGGAATTGTATACTTAAAACAGATGGATTTTGTGGTATGTAAATTATACATTGATAAAGTTGATTAAAAATTTCCAAACTGAAACAAAAAAAAGTACCAAGTACAAAGGACATGAACAGACTGAAAAAAATGGACCTTGCAACACCGGTCAGGTGGATACAGTCCCCACTGTTTCCTCCTCGATCAGTTCACAAGTGTGCCTGTCCCGTGTTCAGAGCCTGAGAAGTATTACTTGAATTAGTGAATGAGTCTCAAAGAAAACAAAGTCCAGGCAAGGGTATCTGAGATAGTGCCACCCCTGGAGGGGGTTGACTTCCATAAACTTCCCTTGCCTTGATGCCACCCTAACCTTGGTGACCAGCTCTCTTGTTCTGTTTTGTTAACCATCAGCGACATGTCTGCCCCATTGCACAGTCTTTCTCTCTTCATGTTTGGAATAAGTTGGAAAGAGTAGCATCATTGTATTTGGAAAATAAGCTCGGCAAGGAGCAAAGTTGCATTTTTCCTTAAGAGTTTAGTGAGAAAATGAGGGAGCTAAAGTGATATGGGATTTGGGAGCCACTTAAGAAACATTTAAAGAATGAGGGAAACATCAATCCTTCAAAACCTATAACCATGGCAGGAGTGAACATAATGAGGAAAGTCAGTAGGACAGTACGTCCAACTTGAATATCCTTTGTTTGGGTTTGATTTTCACCGAGCACGTTTTACCTGCAAAAAACACACCTTCATCATGATCATTGTCTCAAAGGAGCTTGCATATTGGAAGGGAAGAAAGCACTAAGGTGCTGCCGTGCAGGGAGAAATGAGATGCCCATACAACAGAGTTGAAGAGCTTCTTACCAACAAATTAGGGAAGATTCTGGAGGATATGAATCATAATAGGCTTCAGAAGTTGAAGACTATTAAACAAATGGAGATTATAAAGAAGGCATTCCATACAGAGTGATCTGACTAGACTAGTTTGTGTGAACTGATGATTATAAAGCAGAAACAGGAACAAAATTAAATGGAGGGTGGAAAGAATGGTATCACTCTGATGTCCTAGGCTCCTGGGCCTTCGGGGAAGGCTTGGTGAGGAAGCTCACGGGATGTCTTCATAGGAGCTGTGGAAGACAGATGGGAGACACTGGGTGCATTGCAGGAGTCAGGGGTCAGGAGACAGAAGCTAGACAGGTAAAAATGGAAAATGAAATAAACTGGGAAGAGAGGAGGAAACACAACGAACTCACCAGCGCTTCTTAAGCCACAATGCAATGACTATCAGAAGAATTAGGGGCACTATCACGGCCAACAGGATCAAGTACATGGAAAGGTGGTGTCCTGTGGGTATTAGAGAGACACATAGATGTCATTTTTGATCCACGGCCAGTTCTATTCTGTTCACTGATCCCCCATATCAACAGGTGCATTGGATGTGAATGCCGTCTTCAAACAGCCTTGTCACTCTGCTCTCTCACCTGCCCAGAGAAGGGTGCCTCATCTCTCCCCCAAGTCTCTTACATCAGAGCCCCAATTGGGCTCCATCTCTACTTTCCCGAAATCAGTTGTATTTATTCTTTCCTGATATTGCACTCACCTAGTTCTGGCGCCATGAAACTTTCCTCTGCCCTACCCTCTAAGCTCAAGAACCACCTTCTTACACCTACAGATTCCATCTTACTCACCCCAGTAGATGACCATGTCGTGGCCCCCTAGACTGCTGTGTCTCACTCGGCAAGACAGGCCGGCTGCTTCCCGTGCCGCCACATCCAGTGTCACCCGAAGATACCATGTCCCATCAGCATGAGGCAGGACATCACTTCGCTGGGTATCTGGCTGCTCCTGCTCACCCTGCATCCACATCACCCACACTGGCTTTGGGTAGAAGCCAGAGACATGACACACCAGCAGCAGACGGCCAGGACCAGGGCTGGGGCCGCTGGACAGCCAGGCCTCTGGCCTCACTGCAGAGGGCATGAAAGGTATTCAGATGGGGATTCTAACACACAGCTTAAGGGGGTAACCACATCGGCATGTACATATTATCTTGCTCTAGGAAACTTGTACCCAGAAAACCCTATTCTTATTGAGCTCTTCTTTGTCCTAACTTTGAAAGGGATGGTGGGAAAGGGCGTATATGGAAAAATCTTAGAGGAAGGGGCTGTACACACCTTGCTTCTGGAGATCCACCTTCCCTGCATCAAAGAGACCCAAGGCAAATTGGGGACAGGTGTTTGTGATGAGCCTCTGCACTGTTTCCTTGATGGCTTCATACTGGTTCAGGAGATCACAGACACTCTGGGCTTTGCTGTCACTCCCTGGAGATGGCACCCATGACAAGTTTTGGAAACTCAGGAAATCTGATCCTTGATAAGCTGCCTGTAAGAAGGCTTTTGTGACATCACTAGAATGTAGCTCACAGCCAGCTGTCACCTGTACTTCAAAGGGATCTGGGAAGAAGGAGAAAGGAGAAAGAGATTTGGGGGGGAGAAATGAAAGAAATGATATAAGGAGTTTATTAAAAAGTGGAGCAAGAAGGTATTAATAGATGTGTGGGAGTAAGCCAAGGATGTGTTTGATCAGGAATAAGGAAAAGAATTTGTGGGATGGGGAAGGGGGCCATAGGGATACATGTCAATAATTAAGTATTTGATTTGAAGAAGTCAGAGAAGTGATAGTAAAGTGCAGGTCAGAGCCCATGAGAAGGAAACACAAGTACAGGGCACATGACATGGGTCATAATGGTTGTTGAGCTGTGAGCATAAACGTTGGAAGAAACTGAACGGAGGAAGAGATCACAGTTTAAGGGAGTCAGGCACAGAGGGTCACCATTGTGTGTCTCTGTGTTTTAGATCATAGAAGGGAGATCACTGAGGAAAGATAAAAATGAACAAGAAAAAAGGAGTCAGAAAAGAGTCTATGAAATCTTGAGGAGTCAACACCCAGAATGACCCTCAAGTTTATTCATGAAGATTTTTATCATGGGACAGGAATAACAGGCAATGGTCCAGAAGGGTATGAGCATGTTTCCCAGAAACAGAGGAGCCTTCTGAGGGAACTCACACTTGAAGTGCAATTGGCTGGCATATTCTTGAGACTCTCGAGTTAATCCAATGAGGTAGACACGGAACAGAAGCTCCAGGTCAGTCAATTCCTCGTTGCTGAAGTTGCCTTTAGACCAAGGGTGCAGGAAAACTATTGTGCCAGACTTGTTGTCCCAGCCATGAGTCTGTATGTCACCCAGCCAGCCTGAGCCCTGATGCTGTGCCCAGGATTCGTTGACAAAGGACGTGATCTGGATGACGTGGAACAAGATGGGTTCCTGGACTGCTGTGGGTAGTAGAGGGTCAGGTAGTTTAAGGGAAAAAAGAAGCAAGCAGAAAATAGAAGTTGGAAAGTGAATCAGCTATGAAGCAGAGGAGGAGGAGAGAGAGAGGGCAGAAAGAGAGGGAGATAAGGAGAGAGAGTGGGGGAGAGAGGGAGGGAGGAAGAGGGAGAGAAGGAGAGAGAGGGAGGAAGAGAGGGAGAGAATGAGGAAGAGAAGGAAGGAGCCATGACTAGGTTAAGGATGACATTTCCCTGACTCAGGGCCCCACACTCACCACCATCCTTTCAGAGCAGACCTGACCTGGAGACAGGACCTCTCAGGGTGTGAACACTCCGGCCACATGAGGATCCAAATCATCTTGGGAGAGGCCACCATACTCTGCCTGGATCCAGGGACTGGGCAGCCGGCAGAGGCTCTTACCTTGTGCACTGTGAGTCCCCAGGAGAAGAGCAGCCAGCAGGGTGAGCTGCAGAGGCACCATGTCGCCTGCAGATGTTTCTCCACTCCCCTCTGTTTTCAGCAAACCTGCTTTTCAGTGTCTCTGCTCTGACTTCCTTCTTCCACCAATAAGCCGTCCTCCCCACCAACTGTTGATTGAAATGACAAAGATCTGCTGCTCCCTCAGTCTCCAGCCACCTACTCAGGCTCTCATTTCCCCTCTAGCTCAGACCAAGACTGTAATCCCGCCTGGCTTCCAGCTCATCTCCTTGTTTCCAGCCTCCACCCCGCCTTCTTCCCTCTGCAAAGGTCGTGTAGGAAGTTGTGTGTGACATTGGAGCGTCACTGCGCCTTCCTGGGACTCGCATCTCATTGCTACAGCAAAAAACAGAAACTGCACCATTTGTCTGGGTCCTGCTCATTCTAACAGATCAGAGGTCCAGCTCTACCTCAGTGTCCCTTCCAATCCCCTTTCTGGATGCTCCATCCTCCTCTTCCCCTTTTCAGAATCTTCACAGTCTGCTCTTTCCCATCTCATCTCATATCCCTCCACCTTTCTCCTCCCTGATTCTCCAGGGCACCGTTGTAAATTGGAGGACTTGTGTTCTCAGGTCTGCCGCCATCTCCCCAGGCACCTGGATGAACCAGAGCCAGCTCTCCATTATCCATAGAGATGAAAGTGCAGCCACCATAGAGTGCACAGGACCATGAAAAATATAAAGAATTTGCCCTCTTATTGAACTTAATTCATATATCCATTCACCAAAAAGTCACTCAACACATGCTTGGTTCCAAGTATCTTAACAGATATGTGAACATATAGAGCCTGAAAATGCATTCACGCCAATGCAGAAGTGTACTTAAGCCAAGAATTGAAATACATTGTGACGATTGCCATTTCAATATCTGGAGTCCTGGACCACAAGACTGACATTCTCTAAGGAGACATTCTATTTTTTTTTTAATTCTAGTTAGTTAACATACAGTGTAATATTGGCTTCAGGAGCGGGATTTAGTGATTTATCACTTACATACAACACCCAGTGCTCACCCAGCAAATACCCTCCTTAATACCCATCTCCCATCTAGCCCATCCCCCCCCACCTCCCTACTTCAACCGTCTTTAGATAGTCTTGAATACTATCCTTAAGAGTCTCTTCTGGTTTGCTTCCCTCTATCTCTTTTATCCTCTTCCCAAATATTCAATTGTTTTGTTTCCTGAATTCCTCATATTAGTGAAATCAGATAACTGTCTTTCTCTGACCAACTTATTTCACTTAGCATAATACACTCTTGCTCTGCTCCATCCACAGAGTTATAAATGACAAGATTTCATTCTTTCTGATCATCAAGTAATATTCTGTTGTATATATACCACGTCTTCTTAATCCATTCATCAGTTGATGGATATTTGAGCTCTTTCCATAGTTTGGCTATTGTTGATAGTGTTGCCATGAATATTGGGGCACACATGTCCCTTCGAATCAGGATGTTTATATCCTTTAGGATGCTAGTAGTGCAATTGCTGGGCTGTAGGGTAGTTCTATTTTTAATTTTTTGAGAAAACCCCATACTGTTCTCCAGAGTGGCTACACCAGTTCACATTCTCTAGGGAGGCATTCTGACTGCCTAACCTCTGGAGTGTCAATAATTTGAAGTCTTGGAAGAGGGCTGTGCTTTCCAACCTGAGGGTGAAACTCAGATGTGTGTACAATGTGTGCAGTGAGGGACGACAGGGGTCAGAAGATGCAGCTCTTCAAGGATACACATTGAAGGTTCATACTGGCACAAAACGCTGTGGTCTGACAAAAGTACATTGTCAAAAACGAGTGGTAACATTTGTTAACATTCAAAGTTACATACGTTGTCCATTTGAGAAGTGGCTGGTGATTTGTCTCTGGTTCTGACTGGCTAATATGCATGAGTACGTGAGTGCAAATCTGTTAAAGACCCGAGCCTTTTGTTTGTGATTATAGCATCCTTTTAATAACTTCCAGGAGCTCACTGAACACGGGAGACAGTCACTCAAGTCCATTGGTCATCATTTCTCTTTCATTTTTGTTAACATTGATAACGAGGCTGGAAATCACACTCAGTGAGCTCCTTCTTTTTTTAAGTTTATTTATTTATTTTGAGAGAAACAGAGACAGTGCGAGTGGGGGAAGAGCAGAGAGATAGAGGGAGAGAGAGAATCCCAAGCAGTCTCCCCACTGTCAGCACAGAGCCCGACTCGGAGCTCGAACCTATGAAGCCATGAGATCACGACCTGAGCCAAAACCAAGAGTCGGATGCTTAACAGACTCCATCTCACAGGGTCTGCCCCCTGCGCTGCCATCCCCTCCCTGCTGAACCTCACCCTCTGCCCATTTCCCTTTTTGAGAAAACCCAGAGCCACATGCCTTTACTGGCCTTTTCACTTCCCCATCAGCACGCCTTTGGGCTACCCCTACCCCCGGGTCCCAGAAACAGCGCAGCCTCCTTCCATGGCCTCCTCCTGCCCCCCATCCACAGCACTGAGGGCAGAGTGGTCCCCCAGGAGGACCACCTGTGGAATGCTTCCCCCACATGTAAGGCCTCTGATGGAGGGAAACAGCTGTTCTCTAACCCACTTTCAACTTTAACATTGTCTGACTTGGTCCGTGTTCACATCCGTTTCTACTCACAGAGTCTTTTCTTTCTCTGTTTCCTGGGTCTCATTTCTTACTTTTCTGTCTAGTCTACATTGTTTTCTACTTACCCTTCATGTGGGTTCCCAGGCCCTCCTCTCTTTTAACCACCCCTCCTGCCTTCCCCTCCTCACCCATTCATTCAAAGGCCTGCCACCGTCTTGGCTAAAATCTGAAAGCTGTGGACTACCTTATCCCTTGACCCTTAGATCTCTGTGTGTAATTATGTATGAACAGGTGTTTGTTTGTTTGTTTTTGCAAGACAGAAGTAGATATTTTTGCAAGATCGAAGTTTGCATAATCAATTTTGACAGTCCCACACTCTCGTGCAAAGCAAAGACTGACTTTATATCACAAGATTTGGAGTCTAAACTTAAAACCAGCAATTTGTTAACATTGGAGACACCTTCTTATGGGCATCGCAACTTCATTTTTCTCCTGTTTTTATTTTAAAAAAATTTTACGTTACTTTACTTTTTTCTTTTTTGAAAAAAATCGCTTAATCCTTTGAAGCTTACGAGGAATTAAGTACTTTAAGTTGGGATTCTAATATCATTCTGCGTATGGTATAAATTTTACTAAAATGCCATGCCACTTTACGGCTGAAGGCACCAGCATAAAGGATATTTGGAAGTAAGCATTTGGCTTTTATTTTATTAAAAGCTCAAATTAGCGATATCTTTAAAGAGATACCGTTGTATTTCTGTCTCTCGTGAAAAAACTAGAAGTAGGCAGGTCAGAGTTGTGGTGATGTTTCATTGCATCAGAGGCTTGGCTGCTGGTTTCCTCTTTTATTTGGGGCTTTCTTTGATTTTTGGTTTACTCTGTTTACTCGTGTCATGGTCTTCACTGCTCTAGGCCCTAATTGTGAAGGTCACCCCATGTCTGAGACGGTTGCTGGAGGTCATTCCTGCAAACCCACCTTTCAGCCAGCAATCAGGAGAAAGGAAGGGGCTGGGCACAACCACCTCCTGTTGCTTCAGATCACTTCACGGGATTGTTCAGCCCATGGATCAGAACACAGTCACACAGCCACACCAGCTCACAGGGTGCCTAATAGATGCAGCCCTTTTGCTACCCAGCTAGTAATTAGGGGTTGATTTATTCCAGACAAAGTGGGAAATAGATTCTGGAGACAACCAGGGGTCTCTGCGAGGAGCCCCGCTTGACAACCCGCCTACCCGTTTAGGTACGTGGGTATAGCATATGGTTGGTCAATAGTTTGTCTTGAATAAGTAAGCTGGTATTAATGCTGCTCAAAGCTCAAAGACCAAGGGTGATTTTTTCAGGACACTTTACACCCAAATTAAGGATCATGCTGGCTCCTGCCTATAGTCACTTCTGGCTTTCTTGCAGAAGCAGAATTTGTTGTGCTCTGGGAATGGAAGGAATCCTAATCAGGCCAGTGGGTGCCTCTGTCTTAGAACAGAACCAAAATGGCACCTCAAGAACAATCCTGACTCCCTGGGGACACTTTCAGTCTCCTGGGAGCAAATCTGAGATTCAAGCAACAGTCTTTGACCAGATCTCCAAAAGCCACAAGAAATGTCCAGTTGCTAATTCTACCCATAGCTCCACTGATTCTTGGTTGCCACTCTGCATTTAACAGATTATATAAAAATTGTGGTACCTGAGGTGGATGTTAGAGCACATAGTCTAAAAGTCACTGTGGCTCAAGTTCAACATAGACAATATTTACAGGAGACGTAGAGTATGCTCGTTCCTATAGAAAATGTAAAATCAAGCCTTGAGTCCACCAGAGCATGGGAGGGCTACACATTGACCCAGATGATTTCATGTTGTGTAGGGTTGTCTCCTCATCTTTCAGGTAGCCTGATATTATCACCTTACTTTAAGAGACTTAGCAAACTTGCGAAATTGACAGAACAAATTTTCCCAAGAACATTGTTCACCACATCACGTAGCTTCTCTCTCATGAGAACTGATGGAAGAACTTTCTGTGTGGCCTGAGGACTGGGAAGAACTATACTTATCCTGAAGGACTCACCTATCTATATCTTCTAGACCCTTCTAGACCCTCTCTCAGTCACTGCAGAGTCCTTCTGTGATTTAAAACTCACAGCCAGTGCTTAGGAGGGCATCATGATGTTTTTTAAAATTTATTCCATTCTTGGCTTCATCTTACTTTACTAACCAAATAGTCCCTTGGATTCTATTCCTGCATTGCTGTTGATAAACTTTTAATCTTACATGCATGGTTTTATAAGTAATTCCAATGACTAGCTAACAAGTTACTGTGAATTTAAGCGTGGGTTTGTAAGCCACTTGATTTGGGGAATTTCTAAAGTTTCAGGAACAAGAACACAGAAATTTTGTTTTAATCTCCACTGCCACCCAGAGGTAAAACATAGAAATTTATCCCAATCTATAGCCTTCAGTGATTACGAAAACCCTGACATTTTTAACCAGAAGGTTTTGACGTTGCACGTTTGGATTCTGTGCTTAGAAATGAAAGTACTTCATACAATATTATATATGTTTATGTCTTTTCCCTGGCGTTTTATCCATGGTGCAACCCATTATCACAATTCAGTCTCTTTATTCTAAGAACATA